AGTTTGGATGAAATTGGCTTAGTGGTTTATGAGGAGATGTCATTTAAAGTAAAAGTTTACGGACGGACGGACGCCGGACGGACGCCGGACGAACAGCGATCACAAAAGCTCACCCTGTCACTTTGTGACAGGTGAGCTAAAAAGTGACCACTTTTTCAGTCCACCCCCCCATCAAAATGGTACATCAGGGGGTTGCCAGAAGGGGGATGTGCCCCCTTCTGTGTGTGGGGTTTGAAGTGGGCAGTAGTCCCCCTGATCGCCAAGAAAATTTTGGACATGTGACAGGCTAAAACTGGTTGATCTTAGGGTAACTAGTAACCAACGCTGAAAAGCCTTTTACTCTATCTCAATTCATTGAGAAGTTGCAGCACTTTGAAATCAGTTTTGATGGAAAAAAACAATGCAAAATAGTGACTTTTCACAATTTAGTTTCATCAGTATTGAAGCATTTTTCATAGTTTCATAGCAGTTTGAACTTGTAACAGGAGGCTTTTCAACAAAAGGTTAAAAAAACAAAAACTTTGTGAAAATATGAGGATTTCATCCTACAATGTAAAAAGCCTTACCGGAAATTTTTCAATGGAACATAGTTGGCATTATAGTTACATGCAATATATTTACCATGGAAACAAGAATCAAATTTATGTATATATATATATATAATACTGTTATATCATTCATAACCGTCTCAGTAATTTCATTTGTACATAGTCTGTATCAAATATATCTTTTAAAGATTACAAACTCTAATAAACTGGTAAATATCAAATCAATTTCTGGTAGCAAATTCAAATTAACTCTTGCTTTCTTTTGAAAATTTCCGTATACCTATAAGTTAAGTGCAATTTTGGTCACATGAGAGGCTTTTTTCAATGGCGATGTCATTATTTTGAGGAAATAATTTGAGGAAATATCAATATGGTGACTCAAGGCATGTTAATTAGGTTGTGTAATCCTCAAGTAACAACAAATAAATATTTATACAAACATCGTTCGAAATCATCTGTAAATATATCATAAAATCAAAGGGCTGCAAGCTCTGTGGTATTTTCTGATCTTTGCAATCTAAATCACACTGACTATCTGTATGTATTTTCCTGTATAAGTTTATTTTTATATACTATAATTCATCTTACGCAGCGACTGCATTTAGATTTTTTTCTATAACAGTTTGAGATTGATACATATGGAATTTCGCATGACTAGAGTTGCATCCAAAAAAACATTTTTCATTTTTTATGACAGCCACACTTTATCCTTGTATATCGTGGCTACTTCCTTAAAAAAGACACTTCAAAAAAAAAAAGTTGCCTCGACTAGGATTTGAACCTTAGGCCTCTCACACCTTAAACGAGCGCGCTCCCTCTGCACCACGGTGAAGTAATACGTATCTACCTTGAATAAAAACAAATACATTGTAATTACACCGATAAACACTTTCCCCAACTAGCAGACGACAGGCTATTCTTATCAGTAGGTCTTCGAGTAAAGATAACCGGTTGCGTATCTCACTGTATAAATAGTATGTAAAATGGGCTGACATATGGTAGGTTTAACAGTTAATTTAAATACTTTGGTGTCAAAAGATATGTAAAATTATATACTGTGACAAAGCTAAGATCCTAAGCTTTCCATTGATGTAATAATTTTTAAAATCGGACATTTAATCACAACAAACTAGCGGTTTAAAAATGGCTTAATTTGTATTGTTTTAGCGTAAGAGATACCAATTTTACTCGAAGATAAGGGAAACAACTCGTATTTTTTCACTTGATATACCTCGGTTATTAACGTAGTTCATATGAAAAGTGTTTATGGGATCCATTTCGTGTTTGTAATCCTTATTAATTTAGAGGTATTTTGTTCCCGATAAACCTGTTGTTTAACACTGATGAAAATAATTTAGCGAAAATCTTCTCGCCAAAACAGTCCGACATGTATATATTCCACTACTCGACAGTCAGATTTATTTGTGTACTACGCTCTGGAGTATTCGGTTATCGACATAGCTAAAAATAGCATTTTCATTGATGAAAATGATATTCATTCGCGTAATTTGTCATTGTGCATTCATGATAATCCGAAGCTTTACGGAAATAGCCGAACATTTTTCATTGGGTAAAAAAGATATTCATCCGCGAAATTTGTGATTGTAACCTCATATTTCTATTGACTAATCTAAACTTTTAATGCACTGTAATTCGTTAAATGCCTACATTAAAAATTATTCTTTCTTTTAAATTGCTGGTTTTTAAGCAGTTTTGAGTGAGAACTACTTTGCGTTGTTAGGTCTGTGAGGAAATTTTGTGTTAGACCGTGGATGTTAGCTTTGTATTTACTGATCTTGCGATCAGAAAATACAAAAAGTAGTTCCACATCAAGTGTTTTCTTACCCTAACAATGCACCTTCAGTTAAGGCTTATTTAAAACTGGAGTAAAAGTACTTTAAAAAGGCATGATTGGGTCAAAATCGGGTTCTTTGTTTTAATCTATTATTTACCATTATGATTCGGCCACAACCTTCATCAAAATAACATTCTACATCATAAGAGCATAAAAATATATAAACAACAAATAACGTATAATAGCACTACTTGTTTATGACACAACAGTATTTCAAAACTTTCAAAGCCATTCACAAATAATTCAGTGATGGACTTACCTAAAGCTAAACATTTTTAAACAGCATAAGTAATCACTAACAAAATATACATTAAAATTTTCAAAAATCATAATGGTTTTATATCTGTATAGTCACATATAGAGTGAGTTTTAACAAATATTCTTGCATAAAAATTGTGAATGCAGGGGTGCATTAATAAAGAAAAAACATTCCCAAAGCAATAAAATCACAGTGTGACATGGGCGCCATGTAAAAACAGCGTACTTAAAATTTCATCAAAACATAACTCTCAATTGACATCACACTCCCATGTGAAATGGACAACAAGAATATTTTTTATACGAAAACTAGAACTATCACTAAATGTGATTAATACCCCCACAAGTCTGCTTCGGAAATGAGGATGTTACTAGTAACAGAATACCTTGTAAAAGAATTGAAACATAGAGTTATGGTTGTGGGCAATTAAAGATAATTGTTGTTCATATATGTTGCATTTCCTTTGAATGTGGTTGGCCATTGATGAAGTTTAATTGAATTACTCTGTAATAAGTCCAGAAAGACAAAGAAAAAGAACAAAGGGCAATAAGTCTATAAATACTGAAGATAGAGTTATAGTTCTTGTGCACTGCACTTCCTCTTATTGTGCTTGACCATTGTATGAAGTTGTTTTGAATTCCAACCAGTACGTTTTAAGTTATGCTCCGGACAAGGAAAAGTATCAAAGGGCAGTAACTCTGTATTTTGTCAAAATGGAGTTATGGCTCTTGTGCACTGCACTTCCTTTTAATGTCCTTGACAACTGTATGAAGTTGTACTGAATTCCAAACAGTAGTTTTCAAGTTATGCTCTGGACAAGGAAAAGTAACAAAGGGCAATAACTCTGTAATTAGTCAAGATGGAGTTATGGTTCTTGTGCACTGCAATTCCCCTTATTGTGCTTGACCATTGTATGAAGTTGTTTTGAATTCCAACCAGTAGTTTTCAAGTCATGCTGTGGACAAGGAAAAGTAACAAAGGGCAGTAACTCTGTAATAAGTCAAGATGGAGTTATGGTTCATATGCACAGCACTTCCTCTCAATGTGCTTGACCATTGTATGAAGTTATAATGAATTCCAACAATAAGTCTTCAAGTTATGGTCCGGACAAAAGAAAGCAATGGAAAAGAAACAAAGGGCAATAACTCTGTAATTAGTCAAGATGGAGTTATGGTTCTTGTGCACTGCACTTCCCCTTATTGTGCTTGACCATTGTATGAAGTTGTTTTGAATTCCAAACAGTAGTTTTAAAGTTATGCTCTGGACAAGGAAAAGAAACAAAGGGCAGTAACTCTGTAATAAATCAAGATGGAGTTATGGTTCTTGTGCACTGCACTTTCCTCTCAATGTGCTGGACCATTGTATGAAGTTATAATGAATTCCAACAATTAGTGTTGAAGTTATGGTCCGGACAAAGAAAGCAATGGAAAAGTAATAAAGGGCAATAACTCTGTTATTACTTTAGATAGAGTTATGGTTCTTATGCACTGCACTTCCTCTCAATGTGCTTGACCATTGTATGTAGTTATATTGAATTCCAACCATTAGTCTTCAAGTTATGGTCCGGACAAAAAAAGAAGGCAATGGAAAAGCAACAAAGGGCAATAACTCTGTAATTACTTTGGATAGAGTTATGGTTCTTGTGCACTGCACTTCCCCTTATTGTGTTTGACAATTGTATGAAGTTGTTTTGAATTCCAACCAGTAGTTTTCAAGTTATGCCACGGACAAGGAAAAGTAACAAAGGGCAATAACTCTATAATTAGTCAAGATAGAGTTATGTTTCTTACGCACTGCACTTCCTCTCAATGTGCTTGACCATTGTATGTAGTTATATTGAATTCCAACAATTAGTCTTCAAGTTATGCTCCGGACAAGGAAAATGCAACGGACAAAAATAAAAGCAATGGAAAAGCAACAAAGGGCAATAACTCTGTAATTACTTTAGATAGAGTTATGGTTCTTGTGCACTGCACTTCCCCTTATTGTGTTTGACAATTGTATGAAGTTGTTTTGAATTCCAACCAGTAGTTTTCAAGTTATGCCCCGGACAAGGAAAAGTAACAAAGGGCAATAACTCTGTAATTAGTCAAGATAGAGTTATGGTTCTTGTGCACTGCACTTCCTCTCAATGTGCTTGACCATTGTATGTAGTTATATTGAATTCCAACTATTAGTTTTCAAGTTATGCTCCGGACAAGGAAAATGCAACGGACGTCTGGACCGACCGACCGACCGACCGACCGACCGCCCGACCGACTAACCGACCGACCGACCGACCGACCACCGAGTGACTCCTATATACCCCCCCAAACTTCGTTTTTGGGGGTATAAAAACAAACAACAAAACACATAATATGCAACATTACCAAATCAGCAACTCCTCACAGCGATTAGGTCACGCTTTTCTACTGTAACCACTGCCACCACTGAAACCCACGTGACGATAGTTGTATCATGTGACAAAAACATGGTGGCCAGTTTCAGAACGCCAAATATCCCATATCCAACTGGCAGATTTACAATTACATCCTTACCAGATAAACAGTTGCCGGATCAAAATCTGTTACGCAATCGTTCATTAACTGTCTAAATTCAGCCATTGTTTAATATACATAAGGTGTCATAGTAAAAATATCTTTCGTTATGTTTACAAAATAATTTTTAAAAGTATATTTTTTGCATTCTTGTACATTAAGCAAAGGAAAACTAAAATGATATTAAGTATTCTATTTTAAAAATAAAAGTGAAAAAAATATATTCGGCTCTCTGATGACCGAATTTACTTGTGGTGGCAGTGGTTTCTGTACTGATCAGGGGAAGTAACCGCTGCGGGAGTTTGCCAAATCAGACGTAGAATGTAAATTTTATGTAATAATAGATCTAATGGAACCTTTTTTCATGCAAAAACTGTATTATGCAGAAGCCCTCATATCAACTATATCACCTTTAACCTTATATGCTTCTGCAGATGTTAATGCACAGAAAATATATGCATTAACCCTCTAGTGTCAATGTTATTAAACTCTAATAAATGATAATAGAAAACAGAACAATATTTTCCTTAACATCGTGCTGCTTCAGATGTAATGCATGAAAAATATATGCATAATTCCTCTAAAGTCACTGTTATTTAATGCACACAAATGATATAAGAAACAAAATAATATTTTCCTCAACAAAATATTCAACAACAATGTACTATTTATAGAATATAAAGTTATGATTTCATTTGTGCATTCACCAGACAATTACAAACATCATTCATATCAAAATACATGCAAAAATCCTGCTAATAATGATTACAAACAGCCCTTATAATGCTTGTTGCCATTAAAAAATCTGTGACATAGAAAAATCATTTGTGTAAAATTATGCCATGTAAAGGCATGTACTTAGACGTGCATAGCTTAGATTAAGCATGCATGTCTAATTAAATGCCTTTACTTGGCAAAACTGCTAATGGCTCTTAAAATTAAAAAATGTAAAATTATAACAAACTTTTTATATTCCAGAAAAGCAAAAACCTTCCATCCATACTTTAGACATAATATTGTTCTCTTTTTTTTTTCACTTTTAAAATTTCTTTTTTTTTAATTTTATGATTGTATAAATCTATATTAACAGAGGAAATAAGTTGACTTTTTACAAGATGAACAATTTAAAATAATGTGTAGATAAATGACATACAAAAAGCAATCACAAAACAGTAGTTTAAAAACATTGTACAGCAATAATCTCAAAAACAATGTACATTGTAAATTATATTATAAAATTGATCATGGCATAACAGATAAATATCAAAAACATTCTTGAAGTAAATTAAGACACAAATTCACAATATATAAGAACACACACAGTTTTTCTGGTAGCAAATGCATGTGTGAGATCAGCTCACGACTGAATATTATCACATGTCAAGGACATAATGGCAAGTTTTATTCTTTTTTTATTGTCATTAATTATATAGAAATGTCTATAAATTAGTTATCAAGCAATTTTCATTGTTTCTGATGGAGAAAGACCTCAGGTGTCCCTTTGAAGCATTATTTCAGGCACAAGTGGGAACCAGGGTACATGTATAACCAAATAAGCTAGCTGGATAGCTTCCTGAAGCAAAAGTCCCTGACGAGATTCATTCCCACAGTGGACAGAGGCAAATGATTTTAAGTTGGTGAGTACCCTGCATGAAATCAGTGATAAAGATAGGTAGAAATATAAATCATAGGCGTCAATGACTTAACCTTGACCCCATTGACCTCAAATGCCACCAACAACTATAAGTTCATGTAAATATACCTTCATATTGAGAGATATTCAAGATATTGGTCAACAAATATAGGTCCTGTGAGAATTAGTAAGTAAATTTCAAAGAAATGAGGACAAACAAGCAACTATATAGTGATATAAATGACCCCCCTCCACCCCAGTTCATCTGGATGCCTTTAAGCTCAGTTCATCTGGAAACATTTCAGTTCAGAAGACACAATTATGTTTATTTGGATGACTTTAATAGGGCCTCTCCACCGAGGTTTGAAATCATAAAATTTAAATCTCTAACACAGATCAGCTGGGGGGACTTAAAACAGAAGGATATGCATCAGATAATTAAGAAATATACTCAGAAATAAATTGAGAATTGTATTAGTTTGTTATTCTTAACCCGATTTGAGTGAAAATAATTGCAATGCTTTTCAATTTTGGGTAATTTTTCTCACAATTAGAGTAATCATTCTGGAAAAATGAGGTTAGCGATTGATCTGACAATTTGCACTGGATCATTAAATGAAACATAAATCTCAAATGATTCTTTCCAGTCCTGTCATGTCAAAAAAACCTCAGTGAAGTTCCTTTAAGTTCAGATGACATTTAAAAGTTTATCTGGATGCTTTTTCAGTTTAGATGACATTGTAAAGTTCATCTGGTTCCCTTTAAAGTTCATCTAGATGCCTTTTCAGTTCAGATGACACTGTTAAGTTTATCTGGATGTCTTTTAACTTCAGATGACATGTTAAAGGTTCTCTGGACACCATTTCTGAATCAGTTCATTTCAGTTGAAGCAATAATCTTGACTGTTGACAAATTTCGATGAACTGTTTAGTCACAAAGTGATGTGTACTAAGCATTCCCAGCGCCAATAGGTCCAATTTCTCCTTGTCTGTCACGTGGGTACAGAGTTGCTGTAATGTTAAGTTATGTTCACATAAATTTTTTTTCAAAACTAGCATAAACATGTATTGTTCAACATAAAACATAAATTAAACTTAAAAGCTAACCACCTCAGTTATAAATAATAAACTCATTTTTAACATCAGTAAAATAATACTTTTCAGAAATCTTAAACAGTTTTGACTTGTTCTTTCAAAGATTTCAGTGACAAAATTATAGGGTTTTTTATCATACACTATGAATAAATTGTAAAACCCTGAAAAAAGTAGTAATTACTGAAATTGCCCACAATGGTGTATATTTTCCCCAATTTTAAATAAGGGTCTTTTCCCAAAACTTAAAAAAAATGCCCTGGGTCTCTATGGAAATTTATGTACTGCAAGTGAGTAGTAAGTGTGTATTGTGTACATGAATTTAATGACCTACTACTGTACTTGACAAAATAGGGTTATTCTGATTCATGTAGTTTCATGAAGGAAAATTGAGTTCCAAATAAAAGCCCAAAAGTTGTGTTTTGCACGGCTCCACAGGGATTATACATGTAAAGTACTAGGAAATTTAGAGCACTTTGACATATACCAATAGTTATCACTATAACAGTGTCATTTTATTAAAGATTTTCTATTTTGGAAATATGGAAATAATCATCATAGCTGCTTTAAAAGATATTAAATATGAAAATGTTTTGTTTGTTTTATTTTGTTTGGTTTTATGGAACAACAACACAATTTAGGTCATATGAGGCCTAAACTGTTTAAACAGGAAAGATGATTTTGGCTAACTTCAGGTGTTACAAACTTAAAGCAACACCAGGAGTCAAAATCACCTCACCTGCTGGAGCTAAGAGATGCATAGACTCCAATAATTGACCCCATTTAGTCGCCTCCTACGATCACACAAGGATAAACAGTGGCTGCAATTCTGATGCCTCAACCCTTAAAGGCAACCCCTCAGCCACAAGGGGAAAGTATGAAAATCAACTTACATGGTATGGCAATGCAGTCATATTGTACCTCTATTTCTTCTATCGTTCTTTTCATGAGAGAGGCGTAACTATGGCGGAAAATATTGTTTTCACTGACCGCACCAATGAGAAGGGCCACAACATTAACAGTGCTGGTATCATCCGCCTCATCTGCTATTACAACAGACCCACTATCACCTTCACAAGAAAATGGACTAACTGTAAAAATAATAAACAATAAAAAAAAATAATTACATAAAGTTTCGTTAACATCACCTGCAAACAGGTCTGAATCCCTCTGAAAAATTGACATTTTAATTACTGTTAAAATAAATAGGAAGTGTCATCTAATAAATAACATACATAGACAAGATGATTACCTTACCATGCTTGAGAAAAAACTGTTACACTGGCTCATGAGAAAAAGTTGTTTAAAAGACATATTCCAAGTGTTACCCCTACTGACATAACATGAATTTGTAACAGAGTTACCAACGTCCCCCGCCTCGGGGAAGTTTTATATGAAGCATAAAATTGTGCTATTTCAAAAGATTGATGTATGGATTTCAGGACTTTCAGTCCAAAATTATGATCAATGCTAGATCTGCAAATGCAACAATAAATTTATTAAAGAAATACTAATAAAATGAAACACGGAATTTAAAATTCTATCATGTTAACCTTTGACCTCTAAGTGTGACCTTGACCTAGGAGGTAGGGGTGCAAGTGTTGTGCATGACATATCGTCTTATTAATATTACTCTTTGTGCCAACTATTTTTTAAAATCCCTTGAATGGGTCCCTTAGACCACAAAATAAACCACATAACAGACTCTGTTAACATTTGACCTCTAAGTGTGACCTTGACCTTGGAGGTAGGGGTGCAGGTGTTGTGCATGACATATCGTCTTATTTATATAACTATTTGTGCCAACTATTTTTTAAAATCCCTTGAACTATGTAGAAGTTATAGATCGGACACAAAATATACCCTATAACAGACTATGTAAATCTTTGACATCTAAGTGTGACCTTGGAGGTAAGGACCCATGTTTTGCACCTGACATATCATCTTTTTATTGTGATTATTTGTGCAAAGTATTTTTAAATGGACTGGACACAAACTATACCCCATAACAGACTATGTAAATCTTTGACCTCTTTGTGTGATCTTGACCTTGGCAGAATGGACACATGTGTTACGCATGACATATCATCTTATCATTGTGACAATTTGTGCCAAGTATTTTCAAAATCCCTTGATTTATGAAGAAGTTATAGACGGAACACAAAATAAACGACATAACAGACTCTGTTAACTTTTGACCTCTAAGTGTGACCTTGACCTTGGAGATAGGGATGTAGGTGTTGTACTTGACATATTGTCTTATTATTGTGACTATTTGTGCCTAGTTATTTAAAAATCCTGAAGAAGTTCTAGATCAGACACAAAATATACCTTAAAACAGACTATCTTAACTTTTGACCTCTAAGTGTGACCTTGAACTTGGAGGTAAGGATGCAGGTGTTGGGCATGACCAATTGTCTTATTATAGTGACTATTTGTGGCAAGTATTTACAAAATCCTTTGATCTATGAAAAAGTTATGGACCGGACACAAAATATACCCTGTAAAAGACGTTAATGATGTTAATCTTTGACCTCCAAGTGTGACCTTGACCTTGGCAGGTTGCCGCCCAGCATGACACATCCTCTCATTATTGTGAACAATTGTGGCAAGTATTTACAAAATCCCTTCAAAGATAAGAAAGTTATGGACCAGACATGACATATACCATCAAATGGACAAAGTTGACCTTGAATGAGCAAGTGCGACCTTGACCCTGGAGGTAAGAGTCTGGTTGTTGCGCATGACACATCATCTTATTATAACAAACATTTGCGCCAAGTTATTTCAGATTCCTTTGATAAATGACAAAGTTATGAACCGGACACGAAAGTGTGACGAACGGACGGACGTATTTAGGCCATCCTTAAAAAAATGTTTGTTTGCAGTAACGAGACCGACTCACAAAATTTGCCCCTACTCATTTTTTTTTTTCATGGTCAGGATAAAAAATTATTTTTTTTGAATCAGAAAATTATGCCTTGTGTTTTGTTTTCGTTCTTTTAAAGGTTAATAGAAGAAATACAAGAGCTGTCCGTAAGACAGCGCGCTCGACTTTTTTATTGCTTGCCAATAAAAAAAGTTTTTGCAGTAAAAGGCAATACAAGAATCTCTGTATTTTTAAAGTGAACAATGGCCATGAGCATTAAGATATTTAGTGAAGAATTATTTTACTGAATTGTGTGATACCCTTGAACACTGCAGCAAAGTTTGAAATGTTTTAAGTCAAAACATTGACAGTTAAGGGCCATAATTCAAAATAAAATCTTTGACAGAATTACCTTCTCCTGGACATGTTTGGGAATCATGATTGTAAACAAGTATTCCAAACTTTCAAATTAATATCTCAAACAGTTCAGTCAAAAAGTGGACTGGTACTAAAAACTTAACCAAGATTCTAAGTCGATAAAAGGCCTTAATTTTTAAAACAAATCCTTGACAGAGTTACCTTCTCTTGCGTACAGATGGGGGTAATGATGTGAAATAGCATTAAAAGTTTCAAAGCAATATCTCAAAGGGTTAAGGCGATAAGTGGATTTTACCCATATTCAATGTATTTTCTAAGTCAAAAAGGGGCATAATTCTGTCAAAAACCTTGACAGAGTTATGTCCTCTTGTCTGTTGATGAAGGTCGTGATGGTAAACAAGTATGGTCAGTTTCAAAGCAATACCTCCAATGGTTTTGAAATAAAGTGAGGTGGTACAAAAAACTTAACCAAGCTCAATACACTTTCTAAGTCAAAAAAGGGCCATAATTCTGTCAAAAACCTTGACAGAGTTATGTACTCTTGTCTGTAGATGGAGGTTATGATGGTGAACAAGTATGGTAAGTTTCAAAGCCATACTTGTAATACTTCTGAAATAAAGTGGGGTGGTACGAAAAACTTAACCAAGGTGTGACGCCAACGCCGACGCCGACGCCGGGGCGAGTAGGATAGCTCCCCTTTTCATAGAAAAGTCGAGCTAACAAGAGCTGTCCGTAAGACAGCGCGCTCGACTTTTTTATTGCTTGCCAATAAAAAAAGTTTTTGCAGTAAAAGGCAATACAAGAATCTCTGTATTTTTAAAGTGAACAATGGCCATGAGCATTAAGATATTTAGTGAAGAATTATTTTACTGAATTGTGTGATACCCTTGAACACTGCAGCAAAGTTTGAAATGTTTAAGTCAAAAGAGGGCTGGTAAGAAAGAAAAAAAAACTGAGTTGAGCCTTAAATAAATTTAATTCTAAGTCGATAAAAGGCCTTAATTTTTAAAACAAATCCTTGACAGAGTTACCTTCTCTTGCGTACAGATGGGGGTAATGATGTGAAATAGCATTAAAAGTTTCAAAGCAATATCTCAAAGGGTTAAGGCAATAAGTGGATTTTACCCATATTCAATGTATTTTCTAAGTCAAAAAGGGGCATAATTCTGTCAAAAACCTTGACAGAGTTATGTCCTCTTGTCTGTTGATGAAGGTCGTGATGGTAAACAAGTATGGTCAGTTTCAAAGCAATACCTCCAATGGTTTTGAAATAAAGTGAGGTGGTACAAAAAACTTAACCAAGCTCAATACACTTTCTAAGTCAAAAAAGGGCCATAATTCTGTCAAAAACCTTGACAGAGTTATGTACTCTTGTCTGTAGATGGAGGTTATGATGGTGAACAAGTATGGTAAGTTTCAAAGCCATACTTGTAATACTTCTGAAATAAAGTGGGGTGGTACGAAAAACTTAACCAAGGTGTGACGCCGACGCCGACGCCGACGCCGGGGCGAGTAGGATAGCTCCCCTTTTCATAGAAAAGTCGAGCTAAAAATGTAGTTCTTATTAAATCAGAATACAGTTATCATTTTATTAATTGTTACCAGATTATCAAAGCATATATTGTCCAGCGTTTTGAAATCCCATGTTTATTTGGGAGTACAGTTCAATAAAAAAAAAAAAAAAAAAATCGACCTACCTACCCACCTTGAAAATTCTGGGTCAGGTTACTGCAAACAAACATTTTTTTAAGGTTGGCCTTACGAAATGGTACTTCTGTGACTTTTCCTTTGATCTTTTTAGCCAATTTTAGTCACACAAGGCTTAAAAAAAGACAAACAAGTAAAAACGGAATGAATAGGATCAAAGAGAATTTACTGTTACCCATTGTTCTTTAAGCCACACAAGTACCTCTGGGTTCGTACGGACAGACGGACAGAGCCCAGTGATTTTCCTGCTTATGTAACAGACTCAGAAAAGGCCAACTTCCCAATTGAAACTTTTTAAAATCATGCAGTTTTCCCCAAAATCTGAACTTAAACCTGCTTTTTTCTTCGCAAATAAGCAATTTTAGCGATAATTTTTCCCAAAATCAAGAGGCTAAGGCCTCTTCCAAATTAAGTGAGAAAAATCACTGGAGCCTATTACTATATCCCCCTTTTTTCTTCGAAAAGGCAGGGGACAATTATACTGAATATTATATGATATGGCATTATGTGAAAAATGTGATGTCACGCCATTATACAACACCAAACAATAGTACTAGTAGGTACAAATTTGTTTTTAGGCATCAACTAATAATGATCAATCTTGCATAAAAACTGTGCATGCAGGTACGCATAAACAGAGAAGAAAACATATATAAACAGATAGATTCTCAGGACAACATGTTGTTGTTGCACGTTTTATAACATACATAACTAAGGTTGCCTTATTATAACAGTTTAATGCAATGATCGACATACCCAGAAGTTTTATTATCAAAACCTAACTGTTGAATGACATCACATTAGCATGTGAAAAGCATGGCACAAGCAATTGGATTTTTTATGTACACTTCTATGCAAAAAAAGGCAATATTAATAAACCTTTTGTCATGCATGAACATCTGTGGAAGCCCTCAGATTTAATAAATCCCCTGCCCTTTGGGCTTAGGCTCATGCTTCTGCAGATGTTAATGCATGAATATAGGGAGCATTATTCCTCTAATGGTAAATAAAACTCACGATTGTGTTACAAAATATAACAAGGCAGTTTAAAGGACAGCTATTCTGTGTCATAGCAGACATGAGTGTTGAACTTTTAAACCTTTTAGAGACCTTGACATTGGCAGTTATGCTATGACA